CTCATAATTACCGTCGTACATATGTACGTGTAGCCTACCTTAGGAGTAGACCTTCATGCCGTCTCAGCCACTGCGCTTAATCCTATCACGAGCTTCTTAGCAGGTTCGGACAATAGAATGATGCGCAGAGAAGGAAAGAGGAAATGCGTCCAACACTGGAGAATCCCTCCTCACGGCAAAACCGTTCATTCCTCACTATAGAAAATAACTTTAATTTATCACGATGCGCTGTCAATCAATGAGCTAACTTGGCCCTTAGAACTGAAGGTGAGTCTGCGGTAGCTCCTTAATGTAAATTTTCTGGCATTTCCACTTATGAGATCTGAGTCGCTCTTATTTTAGCCTAGTATATGCAATGGAGACGAAAAGTTCGACCGTCGATTCCGATGATTTCCACCGTGCGCTCCAAATCCTGCAGGTGCAAATACGTGGCAAATAACGGGTTCCGTGGAAAGCGTCGGTGAAATTCACATTTATGCATGTTTGTTTTATTACTCCAACAAAGTGGTGGAACGGGCCGCGCAATTTAAAAGGTGTGAACTAGAAGTGCGGTTATTGGTTAAAGGGGTTCAGATTGAGTAAGACGCTATGCGGCGGGCAAACTTAACCATAATACTAACCCCACCTTTTGCCTTATCCTAACCATTTCCGTAAGCTTAGCTATAGCCATAGCCTTTATACAACATGCCTACGTAAATAAAATAAGTGGGCATGTTATAGCATTAAAAAACTAGAGAATGCATATTCAATCGCCTCCCTTTCTCATACTTCTCTTCAACATTTTCTTTCAATTCAGGTGGTGCAGGCTTATCATTGTCCAGCCCCTGTTTGGAGTTGTTGTTGGGCCTCTCCTAGTCCCAACTACATATTTGCGGGCTCTGTCAATGGTTCAGTGCTCCTGTTCGACACACGTGTCACCTCGGGCCCTGTAGAGACCATTTCCATCGAGGGAAATTCCTCTCCTGTCACTTCACTCCAGTACCTGACGCCGGACTTTAACAGTCCTGTGTGTCAGTCGGGCGGACTTCTCGTCGGTCAACTAACGCAGGCATGTCCTTCCTGTCTACTACCTATATCGTGCAAATTTTCACCGCTTCCACTGTCAGCATTTATTCTGCAGTTGGACGTTTTGCTTTCTCCCTCTTACTTAGCTGTCTTTCTAACTCATGATTGTTTTCATTTAATTATATAGGTCTCTTTTTTGGAGGAGATGCATGCTGCACCCATCAGTCTGCCTGTGGCGGGGTCTCCGGATGCTAGCGACGCAGAGCCTGGCACTTCAACCACGCCTCCTTCTTCAACCTCAGGCCCCGCTGATCGTAAAGCTTATCGTGCTCATCCCCTGCCTCTTGAGGGCAGCCTTATTTCCCTCAGCTGTGTGTCTTCGTCAAG